AAGGGGGGGGGGGCTTGTCAAGAGAATTTCCAACCGCTGATGGCGTTCAGCTGGTGAATGCATCCCACAGAAGAGCCGTGGGGAATGAAAAGCGGAAAACATGAGGCAATGAAGTGTGAATGGGCTTTCATTTGTTTTAAATTCATTCTTTCAAATGGTGTTTCAACTTAAAAAAATTGGCACTTCTTTAAGGTTGGCAAGGACTCGCTTGAATCGTGCAAAAGGCGAGGATCTCAATGATCTACTACGAATGGACGTATTTCCACGTTGGACTGATCGTGAAAACACAATGTCGGTAGGTATTCGAAAATCTTTTTATGGATGCTGCTGATGGAACATTTTGCCCCCTCCCCTAAATACTACCCATTTGTCCTGTTCTTCAATATAGTCAATTAATTTTCATTTTCGATGGTTTTTCTGTGTACCCTGTGAAGTTGCTGCTTTCGTCTCTTGATGTCTAGCACAAGTCACGGCTGGTTCGAGCAGCTGATATCATCGCAGTCAGTGGGGGCGACGTCAGGAGTCGTGGGATGAGGACCACCCACAGCGCTTCCCCTACTGGTTGTTTTCTCCTTGAATCGATCCACTAGTGGTAGAAAAAGCGCGGTGGGCTCATTACACGCCTCCTGACATGGTCATGGACCGATCTCGACGATATCAACTATGAATTGTCATCAACTGCTCATGATTGTCATGACATAATCGGACTGAAACTACCAAATAGGCTTATGGTTGGAGGTTATCAGTAATTCTCTGGTATTATCCTTGTGGTCATCTAGTAGTAAATGTGGTCGTATTAGTGTCCCACAAAGACAGTCTTACCAGGGAGGGCGCTTCTACCATTCAAGGAAAGCGCCGTACCTCCATCCGCTCGGGCACTTCGGGTTCTCTTGTTACGGAAGTCAGCATGAGGCCCTCGGGAGCCCTAGTGACAGATATTCCGATCCCGCTTCAAGTTCGTACACGTACAAGGCAGAACCCATGTACGAGATCCTATTCGTGCGAGTAATTTTTGTCAGTTCCACAGAAGATCCCCGAATTCTTTAAATCCCTCAGCTGCTATTTCAGCATCATATTCTTTATACTTTTCAGATCCAAGCCTTCTATTGCCTCGAGAGCAACGCTATATTTCTTGTTTTGAATGGCTACAACGATTTTGCACATCTTCGACAAGTATTTTCATCTAATCATGACAAGGTAAACATAGCCCTACTCATTATATCATTCAGCGCTGTTTATCTAGGAGGGGGGCATTTAGCACTTTCGCTAGTTATTTCAGTTAATTCATATGAAATGACAGGTCCCACATATTGATGAGACTCGTGAACTCCTGTGAAACTGCTAAATGGTGCTAGTGAGCATAAGCTGGTTACAGGAGTTCATAGGTCTTCACAAGTTGGTCTGAGGTTTCATATGAATTAACTGAAATAACTACCTTCGCGGAGCTACTATGATAGCCCCATAAAGCCGTTTGCGCCGATCATTCTCAGAGATATTTTTTACTTATTCTGCAGATAGGACTGTATGGGAATGTCCATACTGCCCTGTTGCTTTTTTCAGAATTTTCTTCGATAGAATAGCTGAAAGTGAAGAGCAGGAAGTTCGATTGCTTCACTTTTTGTGTATACTTTCTCATCTACTAGTTTTCGTGGAAAGTAGTACCCGTTTTGATATTTCTCTTTCTGACATGCTATCACGTTCAAAAAGATCAGGCTGAGTAATTTTGGCTACAGGTTTGGGAAAATATACCATAATTTCGTTCCGCACGATCGCCCTGCGGCGTTTTGATAGGCGATCGTCTTGCTGTGTCCCATGCTGGCATGGGTTGCGTTCAAGCGTTTTATGCATTTTTTACGTAATTTAACGACTACTTCCTTTGAGCTGAAGATACGCACTACAGAGAACTCAGCTATCAAAAGTAGCTGGGAAAACGTAGTCTTCGGAATGAGTCTGTCCAATTCCCAGATTCCCAAGATCTGCAATATAAATTTTTTCCAGAAAGAATGTGCGAGAGTCAGTCAGTGAAAAAACTTGAAGAAACATCTCCCAGGTGAGCGACGCGGAATGAGATTCGAGAAGCGGACGAATTGCCCTCCCCGGCATATGTTGCATTCCAGTCGGAACATGCATACGCAGCTGCAACTTTCTGGTTACGCTTAAAAAGTATGCCATTTTTTTATCAAAGATGTAGTGGTTTTTCAGTGCTGGTTTCATTTCAGCGTGAAATATGCGACAAATTGGAGCACAATTTAGAATCGCAAATATATTCAGTGCTGAAATGCTATAAATTGGTAGATCATTCAACGTGAGTTCTTTTTCAACCGGTCACCTTTTTCACTTAGTGACGTGAAAAGTGCCCATTTTCAGCGGAGATTTCCCTAGGATACGTGCCTGAGAACGACGCATACGTTAATGTGATGCAACCGGTGCTGCCGTAAAAAAGCAACCCTTTAGCCGATATCCTTCAAATTGCTCTGGGAAAGGAAATCAACGAGGACGGAGACGACAGATCAGACAGTATCATACCTGGATAGCATTCCTGGATTTTGTCAGTAAAGCAGTATCACTTCAGAAACACCGTCTTTCACAAGATTCTTGCGCTCACATATCGATTCTCTGAAATCAACTAAATCGAAAATCTATGAGGTATATTACAATTTCGTTCGCTGCGGATGCTGGGGCATCTGTCTGGCACGTCTCCAGCCACTTTTCCATCAACTCCGGTCGTCCGCCAGCTTCCAGAACTGATGGAGGACATGCTGGCGACGTGTCAAACCAAGTGTACTGACACGCCCCTGCATCCGCAATGAACGAGACTGTTTCTAGTCCTCCTCTTAATATTCTGCATGATTTTTGTCGTTATTACTTGCAGATGCCTAAACTAGAGCTTTGGATCAAATATGCCCGCGCCTTACTGGACCTCATTAAACCAGACTCAGAAATGGTAACAAGAAAGTTGTTGAATCAGTACGTCAATAGGCAGTTGCAGTTCATGAGAATGTGGGTACATCATTTGACATCAGAAATGTTTTTTTTTCATGGAAATGAGAGCCACTCAAAGCTTTCGGCAAGCGGTTTTCTTCCTTAGTTTTTTTTTATTATTTACAGTAGGAAAGAGTCTTCCCGAGTAAATTGTCTAAAATGAATTGGAACATAATCAGTGTAAGAGTTCGGCAGTCTGGCAGTCTGACTTGGAGGGTACATTTTGCTGGTTCCCATCATTACCGACTCCTCCTGTCCTCCGAAAAGAGTCTACAGGTCTCACCGGGGCAAGAGGTGTAATTTCGCGGGAACTACGGAACTAACTTGAGGACTAGCAGAAGTGCGAAATGTACCTCCTAAGCCGAACTGCGCCTGTGAAAATGCTATTTAAGGCTCAACGCTAAACACGTAAAGGAAGCGATTGCTCGGTATACTGGAGCGTCGTCCGGATTCGGCAAGGGTAAAGCCGCAGCAGAACGCGCTCGGAGCCAGGTGGTATTCACCAAAGCGGAACATGATGAAAAGGTACTTTATATTGATGACCGCTACCTGGTCATACCAGAAATGGGCATTTTGAGGTTGCAATGGCCATAACGTACCTTGACGCTGTTCTGGTCGGGGATCGAGATGAGGCCGTTGCTCAGATTCGAGCCGCATGTGACAACCTTTGGCAAGGTGGAATGCGTGGTTGTGAACAAGTGTCAATGACTGGGAATCGTTGTCAATTGAAGGTATGATTTGTGCTTTCTCATTACTAGCTGAAATGGCTTAGAATTCGTTGATAGATTGCGTCAGCACAATCGACAAGGGATGTGCCTTCAGTCGAAATCCATTTTTCGATGTAATTCAGTGCCGTATTTCGGCGAAAAAGGCGCTGCAAATGATGTCACGTGCGCGCTATTCGCACCACGATCGTGCTGGTTCAGCGCGACAATACTGCAGTGCCCGGTAACTAGCTCAGGAATATTCTGCTAGTTCGCACGCGATAACGCGACTCAGATGCCTTGGCCCACGTGTGTGAAGCCACACTTTCCAAGTCTACAAGTTGACTAGGGGGGATGGGATCAGGACCGCCAGCGCCGTTGCCATGTTGAGTAAGTTGGGTCCTGTCGAGAATGCCGCGTAAGTCCCGTTTCTTGGAAGTTACGGCTCCATACACCTTAAACCACTTCCACTCTTACAGATTCTCCGCGTGGAGACAGCGAAGTTACCTTCATCTCCAATCTTCCATGCTTCGCTTACTGTGATACACTCT